CGTTTTGTTTAGATTTATTAAATTTACTCTTGTTAAATATATTTAAATGTCTCTTAAATTGATTCCGAATCAGGTCGCAAACGCGTGTTAATCCGCGTATAATAAGATTGATTAACTGGTGTCAAGGAATCCTGACGAGCATCTGAACTTCGCCGTTCGGATCATATAGCGATTATCGCCCTACTATAAAAAGTTAGAGAGCCGATCACACGATCGCGCGCCGTAAGTGTCGTAGACTAAGACCTACGTCCTGGCTGATCTCACAGCAGCAGCTGCACAAAAATCTTTTTAGGATTGTTTCTTAGTTAGTTTTATTTTGCTTTTATCAAATTTGAGGTGGTTAATGTATTGTATCTTGTTATTTGTGCGCTCAGGTTCTGTATGGCAATTTTGAAATCTTTTTCTAAGTTGAATTCCCCTTTCTGAGATTGGTAAGTTCGGCTGTCCACCAAGGGACAGATTTGCGGGTTTTTGTGAATTGAGGAATAAAATTTTTACATGCATTATTGATGATTTCAATATTATAATCTATGCGATTACGTACCTCGTGAGGACTGTCACCCTCGCAGTCTACTAGGTTGTGATAAGATAAGTCTGTAAGTCGTTCCAATTAGCTCTTTTCAGATTAAACCTGCGACAAGGGTGTCTATATTCATCTGTACTGGTAATTTCAATATTGAAAGAAATCATGGCATGATCATCAAGTGATTCTTCAAGTACTTTCCATTGTTGTATGTGTGGATATAATCCAGAGGAACACGCAGTTACATCTATCCAGCTACTGCCTTGGTTGGATACAAAAGTAGGTGGAGACAGAGGATCGTTAACGACCAATAAGTCGTTAAGTGCCAGAAACTCTTCAACATATTTTCCACGTGAGTCCAAACGATTCCCCCCAAATAGGAGAATGAGCGTTTGTATCTCCGGCCAAGATGTAATATACATCTGTAAATTTACCCATAATGTTTTGAATGTAATCTAGTATATCCTCAATATGAATACTTTTAGGGAAGTAATAATTGATAAGAATGTGTCTGCGATTATTGATAATCAACTCAGTACAACTGACGTAATTTGTACTAATAGAACTGTGGTGAAGGAGGGAAAGATCGTCCCCAAGAGCGATGGAAACAGCCCAAGGATATGCATTGGTATCTTGAAGGAAGATACAGTTGGCAGGAAAGCCAGCAGAGACGTTATTTATGCAGTATGGCTCTTGACAAAAAATGATGTCATATTTATGAATAATTGATGTTAACACAGAAGCGGCGGCTATGCTCCGCCCGGTATTATATTGCAGAAAACAAATTTGATTATTGATGTGACGAACCATAATCAGTGCGGTTGATTAGGTTGGTTTTGATTTTACGGAAAAGAGGGCATGTGCCATCACGAGCATTATGATTGAAGCAGCCATCCTTACTATGTTTACAATTGCAGCAAATAGGGGACGATTCCAGATTTTTCATTCTCTATAAAAATGCTCACCCGAGCAATGGCTACAGGTAGGAGTAGTCTTGCTGCAGTTTTTGGTGGAGTGACCGTATCTAAGACAGCGAAAACATTGCAAAATAGGATGGAAGTCTGCAACTCCGCAGCGGGACCATGCCAAATTAAGTTTGCCCAGTCGTAGAAAGAGTTCACGAAGGCGAGGTGAGACATCAATGAACCAGTTTACAAATGCATCAGTCTTCTTTCCCATAACAAATTTAATGGTAAATTCCCTATTAAAGTCTTCTTTAGAAAGGAATTCGTTGAAAGTTTCATTTTGGCTTAAAACTAGCATAGGTATTTCCTCGCGATTAATGTGTGCAGGTGCCGAGTACACGATGATTTGTGGTAATAGCTTTTTAGGAACTCTAGCATTTATCTCTAGAATATTAAGGTCAATATATTGTTTTAGCTTAACTGCATCTTCTTGTTTATCAAGTTCAATCGCAAGTCCGCTTCTTGCAATATTTCTTATTCTTGCTACCTCAATGTTAAATTGCGATAGGTTTACTTTTTTATAGATAAGATTTCGGAGTTTATTACAGCTAGTATCTTCGCCGTTTTGATAAACCAGGAGGACTTCTGTAGATAACCTAATAATTTTTGTATTCTTTATTGATCGAGGAGTGTTTCCTGAATTAAGAACATTTCTGTATGTTCTGTTTATGCCATTGCCCGCATTAGTATTCACACATCATTGGTCCAGTTTTTCTTTTATGCTTTTGTTCAAGTTTTCTAATACTGCGCTTTGAGTCTCAAAAAAACTCCTTAGAGTTAGGATATTGAGATATTTTATCATCTATGTGTTCTAATTTTTTTAAAATGGTCTTATTAATCCACATGCTCTCTGAAGTAGATGCTAGAGCTATACGATCTACTTTATCAGATAAAATCCTAAGCTCATGACGATATGGTTTTTCCATAAATAATTCTATGGCCCTTTCTAAACAGTTAATAATAAAGTCAGAATATTTTGGTGTACTGAATCTCCCGCGATCATTTTCTGCAATGTAATTTTTAAGCTCTCCAACAATCTCAAGAGCTGACATTCGTAGCTCTTCCCAAGTAACAATAGTGTTTTCAATTGACATAGTAAACAGTAGTAAAATAATAAATATATTGATAAAACACAGCTAAGAAAACGTCACTTCCCGAATATCTTCTAAAAGCTTCTACTCCAAGACCGTTGCCATGGGCACCAGTTAAGAGAGTAAAAGTTGTATTGGAATAAATTCTAGAATCGCCATAATTCAAATTCTATATAACCGATTTTAATGAAATTTCCTGGGGAGTGTGCTTAAAGGTTCCTAGAAGACGTGCCTGAAGGTTTTGACAATATTCTCAACCGGAAGCTCAAAAGTGGCGTTCCAAGACCGACCAGAAGTAAAGCCGATAACTCTGTTAATAATGGACCAATGACCCCCAAATTATGTGTCCGAAGACAACATGAAAAGACATATTAGACGGGAAAGCGAAAACCGGTTTATCGGCAATTCAATTTTCGGATAACCGAAAAAAGTAGTTTTTCGGCCGTAATTTAAAAAGTTTTATATTTAAAAGGTCCTGCTTGACGTATAAATATTCCTTCAACCTTCAGATTCACAAAAACATTAAACACATTAAAAGTAAACACATAATAACTAATATCACAATATAAAGCGGAGCTCATCTATCTGCAGAAACTAATTCGAATTCCTCCGTTTCTTTATCCGTTTATATATCTGCACTCCCACTACCATTAACATTGCTATATTTTATTAATTTTTTGTCCTCGCAGGTATCTGTCCCTTTGCACATTCCATTTTTTCTCCGCTGCCTCTGCTATAATTAAGAAAATTAATTCCACTTCTTACTAGTTTTTTAATTCTTTTAAATAACTTTGGTACATACCTTACTTTAACGAAATTGTTTTCTTTATCCGTTGATTTTGTTTGTTTGTCATTTTCTAGTTTTTCAATTTATTTGTTCAATAACCGTTTAGATAATCATTTAAAATAAACATCTTAATTCTTCTTCTTGTTTGTGTGTTTGTATATTACTTTTCTTTTGTCTTATTTTATTCATATACAATTTATATATGTTATCTTTCATACTAACAGGGATAACAGATTTAGAAAATGTAAACGTCTGACGTACACGTTTTCGCGTCTAAAACGTCGGCTTCAACCTCGCTAATAATTGGATCCTAAGAAACGACATGCCTAGCCTGTCGAAAAGTTTTGATTAATTAATAAATATACTGTACACTAGTGTTATTATAAAGATATCCAAATTAAAATATTATTTAATTAATATGTAGTAAATAGAAATAAATGCAAGAAATTAATTATTTTCACAAAAAACTTTATTTTAAAATCACTTTAAAATACTTAAAAGTTGTCAATAAACTTTTTGTTCGCATATTTTCAATCGAAATTTTTTGAACAAATGTTATATTATATTCACGAAGAACTTCATAATTTTCATCTCAAGCAAATGTTACATTGTATATATTTCGATGGTAAGACGAATTGACTAATGAACTGTGTATTATTTTGTGTTCTTCTGAAGCCTTATGGTTGCAAAAAGCTCGAAAACAAATAATACAATTAAATAGATATAAATCTTGCAATATACGATGAGCATCCAGGTAAGCTTCAGTTTAAAATTGACAATTACACANTAAGAGTATGTTTGTAGGTTAAATTTAAGTTAAGTCAAGAAATTAATTATTTTCAGAAAATTTATATTTATTTCTTTGTAAAAACTTACTTTCTAATCTTTTTACCTTCATGTGTGGATGTTAATAAGAGTATGTTTGTAGGTTAAATTTAAGTTAATGCAAGAAATTAATTATTTTCACAAAAAACTTTATTTTAAAATCACTTTAAAATACTTAAAAGTTGTCAATAAACTTTTTGTTCGCATATTTTCAATCGAAATTTTTTGAACAAATGTTATATTATATTCACGAACAACTTCATAATTTTCATCTCAAGCAAATGTTACATTGTATATATTTCGATGGTAAGACGAATTGACTAATGAACTGTGTATTATTTTGTGTTCTTCTGAAGCCTTATGGTTGCAAAAAGCTCGAAAACAAATAATACAATTAAATAGATATAAATCTTGCAATATACGATGAGCATCCAGGTAAGCTTCAGTTTAAAATTGACAATTACACACCAAACAAATGAATAGTCTACATTTGGAATGAGTAAAAAAATGATGAATTAAACGATTTTGTTATTCGAAACGACGATTGCTGCTAACACAATTACTGGAATTTATATTTGAATAAGTCGTTGTATTGTTACTTTCATTCATTCCACTGGAGAAATTTTGATGGGGTATTTCATACTTTTGTAGTGTCTCTCTCAGATGTCTTCTAAAATGACAATCTAATATTCATTCTTCAGGAAAACATTTATAACATATTTTACATTCGTAGAGTTTTTCTGCCATATGGATAATGAGATGACGATTCAAACTGCACGAATGAGCAAAATATTTATCATGTTATGCATTTATGACTTTTCTTCTCTGTGGGTTTTAAGATGACGTTTCAAACTGCTCAATTGAGAAAAACATTTATCACATGTTCCACATTTGTAGGGTTTTTCTCCCGTGTGGGTTCGGAGATGATTATTTAAAGTGCTTAATTGAGAAAAACATTTATCACATGTTCCACATTTGTATGGTTTTTCTCCCGTGTGGGCTCTAAGATGACGATTAAAAGTGCTGGAGCTAGCAAAACATTCATTACATGTTTCACATATGTAGGGTTTTTCTCCCGTGTGGGTTCTAAGATGACATTTGTAATTGCTTGAATGAGCAAAACATTTATCACATATTTCACATTTGTAGGGTTTTTCTCCTGTATGGATTCTCGTATGACAAGTTAAACTATCTTTTCTAGCGAACGACTTATCATAAATCTTGCATTCGTAGGTCATTGTACTGTCTACGTCTATGAACACCTACTAAGGTAATACTGTATTTTAGAGTTATTCATTTATATTGCAATTTTTCCTTAAATTACAGTTAATTAATTAATAACTACATATACTGGTAGTAATTTACACGTTTTAGCATAAAATTTTTCATGTCGACAATTTCTAACATCAGGATATATTTTTCAATTATAAAAATATATTAATCTTTATATTATCAACAGTTTAGTTATATTTGTGTATAAAAATAAGTTTGAAAGTAGACGCATATTATGTTGTAGTACAGAGTGAAACAAAAGTCACTTTACCATATAAAGAGTTTGCTACTGTGAATAGGAAAACAAAAGGTAATTTTAAAAATGATTTTCTTAATGTTTATGCCAAAAAATCTTCATGGTGTGTACATTGAAATGTTAAAAAGAAACTTAGAAAATAATTAAACGTAAATAAGTTATTTCATTTTTACATGGAAAAGTGACTTTCGGCTCATTTTATATAGTCTCAAACTGCTGCCACGTCGTTTCTTAGATTCCAGAATTACTTAGATAAAATTTTTTTTTTAATTTGCGTCATTTCAGAGTTTTGTTGGTAGCGCCATTTATTATATAAAGATATATTTTGATAACTAAATTAGCTTATTTGTTAGGGCTACAAAGTCCTATGGGAAGACATTGTGCAACATACGACTTCGCTCCATAAACTTTAGATGGTCCACAGTCTGTGTTACCCTAACATCTGTCATAAACTATTAATGGCTTCATCATTGATGATCTTTGACAAAACTCACCATCAAAACAAATTGTGCAATAAACAACTCGACTTCATTAAATCTGAAGGATCTCCACCTGTAACACGATATAAATACGACACGCTTAACAAATTGTCAAATAGTATAAGTTTAGTTCTAAGATAGTCATAAGTTTAGTTTTAATTTAGATTTAGTTAATCTTAATTTAACTTTATTTTATCTTTATGTTTTTTTTTCT